AATCACAATGCCTTACTGACCTATTGTGAAGCCCAAATGAGATTGTTTGGACACATTTTGATACTTGGAAAGTGTGATTACAGATGTAAGGTGGCATTGTTAAGTAATACTCTATAGGTGGAAGTACAAAGTGAAAGATGGAGAAATTGTCATTAGGCAATAATACCCATTTGATTTTTCTTGAAATGAGTTTAAACCATTCAGTTTTTTGTTTTTTTTAAAGAAGAGCTTGCAGTTTACGTGTAAGCAGTGTCTAAGTGGTGGTAGCTTGTGTGATTTCTCCCTCGAAACCTCTCCGACCCCCTCTTGGTGTTTACGATGGCACTTGGTGGCACCATCTCCCAGGTGGCTCGGCATGGGCCACTGCCTGAGTCGTCCCTCTTCTCAGCACTCCACTCCTTCCGGGCCTGCCCTGCAGCTAGTTTTTCTCCCAGGTCACCCAGCATCCCCTGGGTCCTGGGGCAGCACCGTGACCATGAGCCGCTGCCGTGGCCTCCGGCCAGCCCGTAGCTTCAGTGTGTTCTGCTCAGGCAGGAAAAGCCCACAGCGGGTTTCTAGGCGAATAAAGCAGTACTGAGCACATTGGACTGCAAAAGAAATGTATTTTTAAAAATTGTTGGTTATGAGTTTATATTCAGTTACTTCACGAGTATCAGGACAACCTGATATTTGGCCTCATTTGACGGAGTTTTCTTTTTTGAAAGTTCTTTTTTGGTTGCATTTTATTTCTTGCCTAACTGCTCTGGGTAAAAGTTGTTCTTTTTTTAAGCATATTTTTCTTAACCTCTATTTGTGTCCATGTTCTGTGTCTTGACTGTGCAGAGAACCAGGCCGGGAGAATCTCACAGATTCCAGTTCTTCATTTTTAAAAGTACTGTGACTCCTTTAACTTCACAGAGCATTGGAGGCAGGACGGACGGACTTCTCCGTTTCCCTGTGAGACACCAGGACAAGTTGCTTCTTTTCTCTGTGTTGTAGGTTTGTGAAGTTTTCTATGCCCAGCGTTCCTGACTTTGAGACGCTGTTCTCACAGGTTCAGCTCTTCATCAGCACTTGTAACGGGGAGCACATTCGCTATGCAACAGACACCTGTAAGGGGAACAGCTTTTTCTACTTTTCCACAGAATGTATTCTGCCCTGTAGTCATTTATATTTTCAATATTTTATTATTGTTGTGTCTAGTTGCTGGGCTTTGCCATCAGCTAACAAATGCACTTGTGGAAAGGAAACAGGTAAGAATGTTATTTGAGTATTTATAGCTCTGTTTCGCACGCCTCTAACCTGCACAATGCGCTGAGTGTAAGGGTTCCAGCCTGGTGTTGAGACCCTAATGCTCGGATGTACGTGGTCGCTGTGGGGCTCTGACCACAGAAGTGGTGCCTCAAGGGGGAGGCCGCTGCTTGTGTTTGGAACTGCCATTCTAGCACCCTTGTGCTGTAAAATGCCGCTTTTTTGTTTGTTAAACCTTTTAACTTGCAATTATGACATAATTTTAGCTTTACAAAAAAGTTGTTAGGTTAGTATACTTAACTGCCATAAATGCCCTTCACCCAGAGCCCCCAGCTGTTAGCGTCTTACACCCAGAGCCCCCAGCTGTTAGCGTCTTACGCCCAGAGCCCCCAGCTGTTAGCGTCTTACGCCCAGAGCCCCCAGCTGTTAGCGTCTTACGCCCAGAGCCCCCAGTTGTTAGCGTCTTACGCCCAGAGCCCGCAGCTGTTAGTATCTTACACCGAGTCCCCAGCTGTTAGTGTCTTACCATACTTGTTCGTTCTTTTCTCTTTTTCCTGAGCCCCGGAAAGAAAGTTGCAGATGTGATACCTGAGTGCCTCAGCGAGTGTTTCTTAAAAATTAGGACAAATTAAGACGTTCTCTTACATGACTGCAGCACACTGACCAACATGAGGAGATGAGCACTGATCGACTCCTTTAGCAAATCTGACCTGGTTCCGATTTTGCCAGTTGTTTCACTGATATCTTTTATAACAGGAGAAAGTCTCAGATCACGGGTTGAATTACATTGTTGTGTGTCTTTAGTTTCCTTTAATCTGGTAAACTCTTTATTTTTTGTGTTATTGACACAAGTTGTAATTTGTAAGTTTCTTTTTGATTTGAAATTCAACTTTAAGGCTAGGGTAAAAGAGGCTGAAAACAAAGAACCAGTTGGTATTTTGTGGGGGCACTAGATAATTATTGTTTGAGGGAGATGGTTAATCCCAAGTCTCTACTGAAAAAACATGTTAAGTTCCTCAGCTATTTTATGGCCACACCTCCTCTCCAGAAGCTGACTGCACCTCGTGTGGTTCTTGGTCTTGTTATTCATGGTCAGGGCAGGAAAACGGTCCGTCTGTGCTTGGAGCTGCCATTCTGGCGCCCCTTGTGCTGTAGAAGGGGCTGTGGTACCACTCAACAGCAGTTTACCGCCAGGTAAGAGATGTTGCTGGAGAGGACTTGCAGGTGCCGCCTAGACTGCCCTGCGGGACAATGCCAACGTCCTCAGCCACAATTCAGTCTCCTAAGCGTAGGCCTCATCTGTTGTGAATAATTTGTAAAATTTTTGTTTAGCTGTAAGTATAATGAACTCTTGAGAATGTAATGTTGCTTTTGATTATTGATCTCCAATAATTAGAAAAAGCTTTATGATTTAAAAAGTTGTGCTGAATTACTCTACATATCACAATAAACAGCTTAAGACAACATTTTCTGACTGAATAGGGACAGAAGTTTCGTGAGAGGCTGTGGGACCCTCCTCTTGTGGTTTAGAAGAGCCCGTCAGTATGTTACTTTCGTTTCTAAGTGACAGCCTAGGACCCAGCGTGCTGACAGGTGTCCTTTCCGACAGCCCCTGCGCGGAATCGGCATCCTTAAGCAGGCCATTGACAAGATGCAGATGAACACAAACCAGTTGACCTCCGTCCATGCTGACCTTTGCCAGGTGAGCAGCGAGGGGTTGCCCCGAGTCACGGTTGGACTTGGTGAAGATGGCGCTGTGTTCTAAGCCTCGGAATGGGTAGCTGCCCCTGTTGCTGGGAAGGGAATCTTGGGGCTACTGAGCGCAAACCATCGACTGAGGCCCAGCTAGTCAGCTCGTGATGTGGGGGCAGGTGGGGTGAGTAGCGCTTGTGACCTTAACAATCCCAGTAAGGAGCTCTGGAACCTGAGGACGAACCAGGTGACTTCTTACACTTTAAAGTGTTGTTCATGTATTTATTTTATTTTGTGTGACTCCAAACCCAGATGGCAAAGCGGGGTGGGTATATAATGAAGCCCGTCTCCCACCTGCTGACTGGCCACCCATCCCTTCTCTCCAAAGGAAACTGGAATTAGTAGTTTCTTAGGCATCCTTCCAAAGATGGTTTAGGCACATATGAGCAGATATGTTTATATTTGTTCTCTCTAGTTTTTTAAACACAAATACTAATCTATACAATGTCTTATGTACCTTGCTTTTTTCTTACTGTGTCTTGGAGATGATTCCATGTCAGTGCTTTACAGCTGCAGAGAATTCCATAACATGGGTTTAGCCGGTCCCTGTGGGGTATCTAGATTGTTTCCTTAATGAATAACATGGTATGTGGATTATTTCAACCACATGTTCTAATTTCACATGGAGACGTGCTCTCTTTTCTCTTTATTTATTTATTTTTTGGCTGCGTTGGGTCTTCGTTGCAGTGCGCAGGCTTCTCATCGTGGTGGCTTCTCTTGTTGCGGAACACGGGCTCTAGGTGCACGGGCTCTAGAGCGCAGGCTCAGTAGTTGTGGTGCGCAGGCTTGGTTGCTCTGCGGCATGTGGGATCTTTGCGGACCAGGGCTCAAAGCTGTGTCCCCAGCACTGGCAGGCGGATTCTTAACCGCTGCGCCACCAGGGAAGTCCCCTCTTTATTTCTTCTAAAAAACTTTTGTGATGGAGGTGTGACGTACATACAGTAAAGTTTGCAGATCTCAGGTGTACAGTGAGTTTGTGCCTGTGCGTGCCCTGTGCCGCATCACCCAGACACAGAACTTTGCTGGATCTTGCTTTCTTGAGCTGCACATTCCCTACACTTACCTGAAGGGTTCAGACATGGAAAAGGAGTGATTGGAGAGAAACTGTTCTTACTTCACCAGGTCAGTGAAGAGAAAAGGTCACACTTGTCGTGCATCTGTAAATAGATGGGCTTTGCTTCATTTGTGGAGCCCTTTATGTCATAGCTGGTTAGTCTTTTCTAAAGAAATGCTATTGTATTCTGAATGCCTAAGAAAATGGAATAACGTGCTGACATTTAGATCATTTTAGTCAATAAAATGTAAAGCCAGTTATTTTCTAGAACTTTGCGGAATCTGCGAATTTGCTCTTTCTGCTAAAGCCGAAGTGCACCTAGAATGATGGCTTCATGTCAATTTTTCCACAGCTGTGTTTGCTGGCCAAGTGCTTTAAGCCCGCCCTCCCGTACCTGGACGTGGACATGGTGGACATCTGCAAAGAGAATGGGGCCTATGAGGCCAAGCACTTCCTGTGCTACTATTACTACGGCGGGATGGTCTACACCGGGCTGAAGAACTTCGAGCGAGCACTCTACTTCTACGAGCAGGTAGTCGGCGCTCCCCCGGGGGCGTATGAACTTGCAGGCTGGCGGCTGGAGCTGCAGGGGAGGGTCCTTTCAGAGGCTGTTTCCCTGTGGCCAGGGGCGCAGGGCAGGGGAGGGATGGGCACTGTGGGGCAGGCTGACCAGGCTTTGCCACGACCCCCGTCTGGTTTGGGTTGAGTTGTGTGTGTCTCTTGACTTTGTAGCTTCCTTTGCGTGTGGGGAAGGGATGGAACCGAGTGACCTTTGACGCATCTTCTTGTTCTGAAACCAGATGAGACGTTCGGTTATGTTTTTCTTTCTTTCATTGTTTTTTTTGGCTACACCGCGTGGCCTGTGGGATCTTAGCTCCCCGACCAGGGATTGAACCCAGGGCCACAGCAGTGAAAGCGCTGAGCCCTAACCACTGGACTGTCAGGGAACTCCCGCCCAGAGCCCCCAGCTGTTAGCGTCTTACGCCCAGAGCCCCCAGCTGTTAGCGTCTTACGCCCAGAGCCCCCAGCTGTTAGCGTCTTACGCCCAGAGCCCCCAGTTGTTAGCGTCTTACGCCCAGAGCCCGCAGCTGTTAGTATCTTACACCGAGTCCCCAGCTGTTAGTGTCTTACCATACTTGTTCGTTCTTTTCTCTTTTTCCTGAGCCCCGGAAAGAAAGTTGCAGATGTGATACCTGAGTGCCTCAGCGAGTGTTTCTTAAAAATTAGGACAAATTAAGACGTTCTCTTACATGACTGCAGCACACTGACCAACATGAGGAGATGAGCACTGATCGACTCCTTTAGCAAATCTGACCTGGTTCCGATTTTGCCAGTTGTTTCACTGATATCTTTTATAACAGGAGAAAGTCTCAGATCACGGGTTGAATTACATTGTTGTGTGTCTTTAGTTTCCTTTAATCTGGTAAACTCTTTATTTTTTGTGTTATTGACACAAGTTGTAATTTGTAAGTTTCTTTTTGATTTGAAATTCAACTTTAAGGCTAGGGTAAAAGAGGCTGAAAACAAAGAACCAGTTGGTATTTTGTGGGGGCACTAGATAATTATTGTTTGAGGGAGATGGTTAATCCCAAGTCTCTACTGAAAAAACATGTTAAGTTCCTCAGCTATTTTATGGCCACACCTCCTCTCCAGAAGCTGACTGCACCTCGTGTGGTTCTTGGTCTTGTTATTCATGGTCAGGGCAGGAAAACGGTCCGTCTGTGCTTGGAGCTGCCATTCTGGCGCCCCTTGTGCTGTAGAAGGGGCTGTGGTACCACTCAACAGCAGTTTACCGCCAGGTAAGAGATGTTGCTGGAGAGGACTTGCAGGTGCCGCCTAGACTGCCCTGCGGGACAATGCCAACGTCCTCAGCCACAATTCAGTCTCCTAAGCGTAGGCCTCATCTGTTGTGAATAATTTGTAAAATTTTTGTTTAGCTGTAAGTATAATGAACTCTTGAGAATGTAATGTTGCTTTTGATTATTGATCTCCAATAATTAGAAAAAGCTTTATGATTTAAAAAGTTGTGCTGAATTACTCTACATATCACAATAAACAGCTTAAGACAACATTTTCTGACTGAATAGGGACAGAAGTTTCGTGAGAGGCTGTGGGACCCTCCTCTTGTGGTTTAGAAGAGCCCGTCAGTATGTTACTTTCGTTTCTAAGTGACAGCCTAGGACCCAGCGTGCTGACAGGTGTCCTTTCCGACAGCCCCTGCGCGGAATCGGCATCCTTAAGCAGGCCATTGACAAGATGCAGATGAACACAAACCAGTTGACCTCCGTCCATGCTGACCTTTGCCAGGTGAGCAGCGAGGGGTTGCCCCGAGTCACGGTTGGACTTGGTGAAGATGGCGCTGTGTTCTAAGCCTCGGAATGGGTAGCTGCCCCTGTTGCTGGGAAGGGAATCTTGGGGCTACTGAGCGCAAACCATCGACTGAGGCCCAGCTAGTCAGCTCGTGATGTGGGGGCAGGTGGGGTGAGTAGCGCTTGTGACCTTAACAATCCCAGTAAGGAGCTCTGGAACCTGAGGACGAACCAGGTGACTTCTTACACTTTAAAGTGTTGTTCATGTATTTATTTTATTTTGTGTGACTCCAAACCCAGATGGCAAAGCGGGGTGGGTATATAATGAAGCCCGTCTCCCACCTGCTGACTGGCCACCCATCCCTTCTCTCCAAAGGAAACTGGAATTAGTAGTTTCTTAGGCATCCTTCCAAAGATGGTTTAGGCACATATGAGCAGATATGTTTATATTTGTTCTCTCTAGTTTTTTAAACACAAATACTAATCTATACAATGTCTTATGTACCTTGCTTTTTTCTTACTGTGTCTTGGAGATGATTCCATGTCAGTGCTTTACAGCTGCAGAGAATTCCATAACATGGGTTTAGCCGGTCCCTGTGGGGTATCTAGATTGTTTCCTTAATGAATAACATGGTATGTGGATTATTTCAACCACATGTTCTAATTTCACATGGAGACGTGCTCTCTTTTCTCTTTATTTATTTATTTTTTGGCTGCGTTGGGTCTTCGTTGCAGTGCGCAGGCTTCTCATCGTGGTGGCTTCTCTTGTTGCGGAACACGGGCTCTAGGTGCACGGGCTCTAGAGCGCAGGCTCAGTAGTTGTGGTGCGCAGGCTTGGTTGCTCTGCGGCATGTGGGATCTTTGCGGACCAGGGCTCAAAGCTGTGTCCCCAGCACTGGCAGGCGGATTCTTAACCGCTGCGCCACCAGGGAAGTCCCCTCTTTATTTCTTCTAAAAAACTTTTGTGATGGAGGTGTGACGTACATACAGTAAAGTTTGCAGATCTCAGGTGTACAGTGAGTTTGTGCCTGTGCGTGCCCTGTGCCGCATCACCCAGACACAGAACTTTGCTGGATCTTGCTTTCTTGAGCTGCACATTCCCTACACTTACCTGAAGGGTTCAGACATGGAAAAGGAGTGATTGGAGAGAAACTGTTCTTACTTCACCAGGTCAGTGAAGAGAAAAGGTCACACTTGTCGTGCATCTGTAAATAGATGGGCTTTGCTTCATTTGTGGAGCCCTTTATGTCATAGCTGGTTAGTCTTTTCTAAAGAAATGCTATTGTATTCTGAATGCCTAAGAAAATGGAATAACGTGCTGACATTTAGATCATTTTAGTCAATAAAATGTAAAGCCAGTTATTTTCTAGAACTTTGCGGAATCTGCGAATTTGCTCTTTCTGCTAAAGCCGAAGTGCACCTAGAATGATGGCTTCATGTCAATTTTTCCACAGCTGTGTTTGCTGGCCAAGTGCTTTAAGCCCGCCCTCCCGTACCTGGACGTGGACATGGTGGACATCTGCAAAGAGAATGGGGCCTATGAGGCCAAGCACTTCCTGTGCTACTATTACTACGGCGGGATGGTCTACACCGGGCTGAAGAACTTCGAGCGAGCACTCTACTTCTACGAGCAGGTAGTCGGCGCTCCCCCGGGGGCGTATGAACTTGCAGGCTGGCGGCTGGAGCTGCAGGGGAGGGTCCTTTCAGAGGCTGTTTCCCTGTGGCCAGGGGCGCAGGGCAGGGGAGGGATGGGCACTGTGGGGCAGGCTGACCAGGCTTTGCCACGACCCCCGTCTGGTTTGGGTTGAGTTGTGTGTGTCTCTTGACTTTGTAGCTTCCTTTGCGTGTGGGGAAGGGATGGAACCGAGTGACCTTTGACGCATCTTCTTGTTCTGAAACCAGATGAGACGTTCGGTTATGTTTTTCTTTCTTTCATTGTTTTTTTTGGCTGCACCGCGTGGCCTGTGGGATCTTAGCTCCCCGACCAGGGATTGAACCCAGGGCCACAGCAGTGAAAGCGCTGAGCCCTAACCACTGGACTGTCAGGGAACTCCCGAGTTTTTGTTACTTTAATAAATAAAACATTCTTCTGGTCTGTAATTCAAAGGGTGTGAAGGAGTACACAGTGAAGAGTGCCTCCCACCTTTGTGTCTGTGTAATGAGACATATTGCGCAGCTCTGCAGCTTCACTCAGGGTCTAACAAAGATAGACAGTACTGGCTAAAACCAGTGTTCTAGGATAAATTTGCCAGATGTCCATAAGTTGTTTCATTCAGAGCACATGTTCAGGTAATAAAAGACATTCCAAGCCGCAGAGGAACTCATGGTATATTTGAGATGCTGTAGAAGCCCCCACACAGACCTGTGAGTGGGCATCGCCTCAGTGAGCGGGAGCTGACCAGCATTGCTGGGGGCCTAGGGCAGGGTGACCACAGGTGCTGTTGGCAGGGGTGATATCTTTCAAGGACGTGACTGGTCAGGTAGGACCTTCCAGGGGACTACATTGACTGTACGGTCACAATTTCAGTTCCTCAGAAAACTGCGAGCACACACCCGCAGCGACTGAACGTGCGCGGTGGCTCTGCAGCCCAGCAGAGGTGGGATGAGCCCGCCGATGGTCTAGGGGTGCCGAGACATGGGCGCGCGGCAGGAAGGTGCGTGGTCTGTCACAGAGAGTTGAAATGTCAAAGACACAGCATGTTTATGTTTACAGCTAGAAGGCTTTTACCTGATAATCCACGTAGTCCCTCTTTTGCCCAAGTGACAGTCTACTTCATGGCGCTGTGTCTTCATGATGTACATCAGTTCCAGGTAGTATTAGTACCTTAATTTCAGGAGGTGACACAGATTTTGTTTTACTGCCTTTTTAAAATCCAAAAGAAGGATGTACTTAGTGAAAAAAATTCAGATCACACAGCATTATATAAAGTAAAGAGTGAAAGTAGCCTCCTCCTCTTACCCCATGCCACATGTGGCCCTGGCAGTTCACTAGCCCCCGGTCGGCGTGGTACTCTAAGCAGATGTGGTGCTTCGCCATTAAAGCAGTGCTGCGTGTGGATCGTGGCACTTGTGTTCTTCTGCACTTGCATGAGTGTTTCCGTTGAATAATTCTCAGAAGTGCCTTATAGGCTCAGTGGCTTGGATTTTGATTTGGAACCTTTGGGCTGATTTGGGCGTGATAGTTTTGAATTCTTAACCCTCATGAATCCAGGTGAAAAAAGGTGGAAAGGCAGCCTCAGGATGGGAGGAAATATTGGCAGATCACATTTCTGATAAGAGACTTACATCCAGAATATACAAAGATGTCTTAAAACTCAGCAATAAAATTTTAGAAATGGGCAATGGGTTTGAATAGACATTGCTCTAAAGAAGATAGGCAGATGGCTAAAAGCACTAGTCATCAGGGAAATGCAAATCGAAACCACAGTGTGATATCAAGTCACACGAGGATGGCTGAAGTTAAAAAGAGAGCCAGTAACGTGTCGATGAGGATGTGGGCAGTTCAGAGCCCTCGTGACTGCCAGTGGGGTGTACAGTGGTGTGGCCGCTTTGCAAATAGTTCTGCGCTTCCTCAAAACGTTAAACCTAAAGCTTCCAAATGACCTGGCACTTCACTCCCAGGATTGCACCCGAGAGAAGTGAAGACAAATGTGCACTCAGATCCATACATGAATGTTTACAGCAGCATGATGATTCACGTGGCCAGATGCCCGCCAGCTGAGGATCTGAGTACACAGAAGGTGGGGCACTGTGGGCCCATGACACAGAATGAGGTCCTGACACAGGCCACTGCAGCGGTGTGCCCTGAAAATGTCACCTCGAAGCTGCTCACGAAAGACTACATGAAGCCATTTATGGGACTTCCCTGGCGGTCCAGTGGTTAGGACTACGTGGTCTCACTGCCCAGGGCCTGGGTTCAATCCCTGGTTGGGGAACTGGGATCCCATAAGCCACGCAGCGAGGCCACACACACAGAAAAAAGCCATTTATGTGCACTGTCCAGAGTAGCCAAATCCATTGAGATGTGAAGTAGAGGAGTGGTTGCCTGGGGTTGGGGGGTGGGCGGTGACCACTGACGGCCTGGGGTTTCTTTTTAGGGGGTGAAAATGTTCTGAAATTCGGTAGTGGTGATAGTCGCACAGCTTGGTGAAGACACCAAAGCCCAGTGAGTTGGATGTGTTCAAAGGGTAAATGCTAGAGTTATTAAAAGGTAGTGATTTAGTATAAGTGCTCTTTTCCTAATTCAAGCTCCCCTGCTGTCTTCACTCCTGCTCAGGCCATCGCCACTCCTGCTATGGCTGTCAGTCACATCATGCTGGAGGCATATAAAAAGTATATTCTCGTTTCTTTGATACTGCTTGGCAAAGTGCAACAGCTGCCGAAATATACGTCTCAAATTGTGGGTAGATTCATTAAGGTGAGTTTTTAAAACAGAAGGATTTCTTAGGTGACATGTTCTGTTCATAGGAAATTGTGGTGATGCGTAGCTCTGTAATCTTTTTTTTTTTTTTTTTTTTTTCGGTACGCGGGCCTCTCTCACTGTTGTGGCCTCTTCCGTTGTGGAGCACAGGCTCCGGACGCGCAGGCTCAGCGGCCATGGCTCACGGGCCCAGCCGCTCCGCGGCACGTGGGATCCTCCCGGACCAGGGCACGAACCCGCGTCCCCTACATCGGCAGGCGGACTCTCAACCACTGTGCCACCAGGGAAGCCCTCTGTTGTCTTATTCTAGGGGCCCTAGCTCTCCCAGCACGTTAAATTAGCAGATGCTCACTTGCCGGCTCCTGGGCGTCTGGCAGAGCCTGAACCCTCCCAGTCCGTGCACACCGATCACCTGACGGACCGTGATGTTACTAGGAATCTGTTTTCACACTTTTGCTCTGGGTGATCATAGCTGTAGATGTTTAAGGTCCTAGAAAAGCAGTGCTGACTCTGTTGGACTCTCACTTTGACCAAGTGCTGGGGAATCTTATTAGACCCCAAGCGCTGCTCACAGAGCTGCTCGTTTCCCTGAGAACTCAGCCCTGGGACCACGTGAAGAAATGACCTACTTTTTTTTTTAAATAATACATGCTCATGGGGTTTTGTTTTGTTTTTTTTAAACTGAAGTCACTATCATTCTGATAACAATTTTTTGCTGACCCTCCTTGTACAAAATTCAGAATTTTACTAGATCAGTGTGAGAGTCTTCCTGATGAGAAGATTTCCGTGCTGCCTTGTTGAGGGTGGCCCGTGTCCTTCTCTAAGAGCCCGTTGTGCTTCTCGGACTCCAGGCTTTTAGTCACATACAGGGGCATGGGGGTGGGTAGAAGGATGCGCAGGTTTGGGGAGCTCCCGGGGTGATTGAAGTGGCCCTAGGAGGAGGGCCTTTGTAAGGTGAGGTCCCCATGACTCAGCCTCCTTCCCCACAATTGTGGTTTGTTGGCGGTGATATCAGAGTGGTGAAGAGGGCACAGGCTTCAGGGTAGGGATGCAGGTTTGAATCCGTGTCTCAGGACCACGGACCTACTCGTGGGCCTGGGTCCGGTTTCTCACATAGAGAGGGGAATGCGTGCGCACGTATAAGATAGAGGGGAACGCATGTTCACATAATGAGACGGGAACGCATGCGCACGTAATAAGAGGGCAACGTATGTTCACATAATGAGATAGAGGGGAACGCATGCGCACGTAATAAGGGCAACGCATGCACATGTATGATAGAGGGCAACGCATGCTCACATAATGAGATAGAGGGAAATGCATGCGCACGTAATAAGATAGAGGGCAACGTATGTGCACGTAGTAAGCTAGAGGGCAATGCATGCGCGCGTGTAAGATAGAGGGCAACACATGCTCATGTAATAAGATAGAGGGGAGCGCATGCGATGGTGAAAGCAGCACATCTCTGAGTGCGCCCTCAGCCCTGTTGTCTCTGGTTCCCCCAGAAGTAGCGGGTTGTCCCGTTGCGCCCGGTGAGGTATGTGTGAGAGGGAGAGAGAACTGAGAAGGGTGGGAATTTTCCTTCTTTCTTCCCAAAGTGGTTTATCAAGAGAAAAAGCAAGAGCCCCTGATGGAGAAAAAAGACCTGTGTGCCTTTACTAACCGTGTGTACCGCACGTGCTGTGCAGCAGTTTGCTCTGTACTACGAAGTGGGTGTTTGTTTTGTTTGACAGTGAACTACTCCATGGTGCATTTCTATCCTTGGTCTTGAAAACTAGGCATTTGCTTTGGGTAAATTATAATTTGTTAGGTAACAGTAAAGGATGTTGAATGTACTTACTCCAAATTTAGTGCCATGTTTTCTTTTGCGTCTTACACAGGCTCCGTTCCTCTAACTCTCGAATCTGGTTTCTTCCCGCCTGCACACCTTTAGCCTCTTAGCAACGCGTACCACGAGTTAGCGCAAGTTTATTCCACCAACAACCCCTCGGAGCTCCGCACCCTGGTGACCAAGCATAGCGAGACCTTCACTCGCGACAACAACATGGGGCTGGTGAAGCAGTGCCTGTCCTCGCTGTACAAGAAGAACATCCAGAGGCTCACCAAGGTGAGGCCCTGGCCGGGCCCCTCCTGACCCTGGGCTCCTCTTCTCCCCTCGTCCCCCTCAGCGCCGAGGCAGCAGCACAGGGTCTCGGCCTGAGGAAGAGCTCTCCCAGCTGACTCCCTAGGGCACTTTGATGGGTGCTTTTGGTCTTTCCAGTGCTGGGGCAGGGTATTTGAGAAGAGGGACAGGTGAAGGGCAAGAGGTAGGAGATACGGCCACCCTGGGAGGTACAGACAGGGAGCCCGGGGGTGTGGCCATGCTGCTCTGGACCCTGCGGCGGGCTGACCCACGCGGGGGCACAGGGCCAGCACACTGGAGCTGGGGGAGGTGAGCCGATCGTGTATTTTCTATTTTCAAGATGAAAATAAACCTAGTGGCTTTTGATGACGGAAAATACGCTTATTATCAAATGTTAAAACTGCCCAGGAAAGTGTAAAAAGAAAAACGAAGCTCCCCATGAGCCAGGAAGGCGTTTGCTGCAGGCAGTGGTAAACCAACAAAGAGCAGCGGCGACCGGGATGGTGCGGCTCTTCTCCTGGGGCTTAAGGACGGGGCGGTTGGGCTCCAGGCAGAGGAGGGGAAAGGGTGCTGCTCAGTTGATGCGAGGGCCAGGGAGGCTGGAGGGGACCAGGGGGAGGAGGGGCAGCCGGGGAGGCCGCCACTGCATGGGGAGAATCGCTCCTGGAGCAGGAGGAGAGGGAAGGGTCACCGCACACGAGGAGAAGGCCCCTTCCAGACACTCCAGACATCCATCTGTAAGAGGAAGATGGAGACACGAAAGAGAGAGCGCCTCGAGAAGAGGAAAAACAAATGTCCTGTCAGAGAAAAGCCAGCTGGACCCGTAGGCTAAAAAGACCGGACCTAAGAGATTCAAGGTGACCAGCAGCTGAATTCTCCCCACAGTGTTTTCCATTTGGCCCAGGTGCCAACACAGCTGCTCTAAGTACAATAAGTTTCTATCTCACCATCGAGAGGAGCTGCTGGGAAACAGCTGCACCCGTAGGTGACTGGTACTGGGAGTTTAGATGGAAAACCAAAATGTGAACAGGGCGAGAAGACAGTGCACGTTCAGAAAGATGTTAAGTTACAAAATGGCGAAGAATTAGAACTTAGGGAATCTAGTAAGTAGGCGCCACTGCGAAAATCATCAGTTAAACTCTTGTGAAATAGTCAACCCCAGTTCGTCACTTTGGAATCCGTTGATAGCTTATACCGAGAAGTCGGTATGCTTTATATGGAAAGTGCGGTTTTCCACTTTGGATTGGATAAACACGGATCCAGAGTGTGACCAAACAAACATGAAGGGCCTTGGGTGGCCAGTCCAGGGCGGGGCAGTGGCTTCACAGTCACCAGCGTCCTGGTCCTACCGTGCTGACTTACCATTGATTTGAGTCCGCTGGGCTGATAAGCCCTTCCCGGCGGCCTTGGGGGGGCATCACAGCTGCTGGTGGGCAGGCGCGCCGCCATAGAGGATGCGTGGCGGCATGTCCTGGTGCCAGAACAGTAGATGGGGCACCAGAGGATTTTCCAGCCAGGTTAGTAGTCTGCTATTCAGAGGGCAAAAAAATCAAAGGCTTTTAAAGAAGTCTCAGCAGGTGTACTGTATGTGGGTGTCGGGATGAGAGGCTGCTGCAGGGCCGCCAGGGAAATGGGCTTATCATGTGAGCCTCAGATCTGCTCCACATTCATGTTTTGTGGGCGTCTTTCTAAATCCCTCTGCTCTGTGTGTAGACACCCCATTAACTGTAGTTGGGATCATATTGTATGTGCTGTCCTGTACACTGCTTTTTTCACTGTCTTCACCTTGTTTCCATGGCAACGTAAGCCTGCACCACAATGACTCTACATCGTACTCTGTTGTACGGATGGTCACAACTCACTCAACCAGTCCTCTTCTGGTAGACATTCAAGTGGAAGTTTCTCCTTATTTTGAAATGGGGAAAAGGACAGTTCCGGGTATTTAGAAATGTTCACTTTTGAGTCCTCATTGGCGCTAAACTACTTAGATACTTCTTAGAATTAACGGTAGTTTCATTTGGAGAGGGCATGCTACTCTTTGAACTAAAGTATATGTATCAGTAGAATTTTCGGTCATTGACTTATCAAGAATTTTCAACATCACAGTCTTAACATGGCCTGCTGTGAAAATGCCATCATTGTAAATATTGCCAGCTGCCCTAAAAAAAACAGAGTTCTTTTAATTTGTTCCTGAAAGGGGGCATTTTCATCAAGTCCCAGGCAAACCAATGATAAACACTGGTTTCCTTTTAACCCCCTATTTGTTTACACATTCTAGCTTTGAATTTTGAAGGACGAATGTGATTTTTTTTCAATTTTATATTATTTACAAGGTAATATGTTTACAATACGAAATTCAAAGACACAAAAATCTCCATCCAGTTCCTGTACCCCAGCCGGCCTTTTCTTTCCCCAGAGGCAGCCTGGTGTCACCCGCTTCTCAGATGTCCTTCCAGAGATCATCTGTGCACATGGAAGCACGTGCACTCATACGCACGTGTGCTGTCACACGTATGCACTCTTTCCTTGTACACAGATGTGAGCGTGCTGTAGACCCTGTTTTGCATCCTTTTTTATATTTAACGATGCACATGTCTTGGATTCTTTTCCAGCTCATAAAAAGTGTCCACACCCAGTGAGTTTTTTACAACCGTGTAGGGGTCCATTCGTGTAATTGCGCTGCACTCAGCCAGTCCTCTGCTAACGGACTTCTAGGTGGTTCCAATCTTTGCCGTTGCAGGCGGTGCTGAAATGGCGGTGCACACGTCATTTCAGATGTACAGGACACACGTGTGGGATACTGCTTAAAAGTCATTAGTCCTCTAGGAAACTGATGCTGAAACCTTAGTTTATCCACTGCATGTCACCTTCACAACAAAACGTTACCTTGTACAGTATTGGAGAGCAGATTTTCAGAGACTCAGTAGAGCTCTGCACACATTTAATAAAATTCCTCTCCTCAGCGTTTCTACTTGTGATTAATTAACTTCTGAATTTCAGACCTTTTTAACGCTGTCATTACAAGACATGGCAAGTCGTGTGCAGTTATCTGGACCTCAGGAGGCAGAAAAGTATGTCTTGCACATGGTGAGTGTGTTGCTGTTTTTCAAAAAGTAATCACTGGATTTTTGTCCTTGTAAAGGTAATAACAGGTGTTTACGATAGAAAATACAAAGGAGGACGAGGGGGGCCCATCCAGTGTCAACCACTGTGGACATTTTCGTCGATTTCCTTACAGTCTTTGGGGTTTTCCCGTGACATGTACTCATGTGTCACACACAGTGGTGTCTTAGCAGTGCTCCGTATTTATATTTTCATTGTCACAGTTTTTGTGAATATCATTTAAAACACTCATGAAATATTTCAGATAATACAAAGAGATACAAAGCAGTGCTGCTCTGCCTGCTGGTCTGTGATGAGCCCACGGATGAGCCATATGTGGAGCAGGGCCCTGCTGCCCTGAGGAAGTCCTGTGCAGCGAGGTAGGGGCCTGGTGACCTCATGGGTGGCAGTCTGACTCACCCCCCTCCTGGGCCGTGTCACCCCAAGAGCACACTCAGAGCAGATCCCCATGTGCTCAGCTCCAGCTGCAGATAGCAAATGTCACAGGACACCTGAGACCCATTTACTTCCCAGTTGTAACTCCCCACTCCCCAAATTTAAATGCGCATTTATTTATTTGTTTTTTAAAGGTTGGCATTTTTATATTATTTATTTATTTGTTTACTTACTTACTTTGGCAGGGCTGCATTGGGTCTTCATTGCGGTGTGCGGGCTTCTCATTGCGGTGGCTTCTCTTGTTGTCGAGCATGGCTCTAGGCACGCGGGCTTCAGTAGTTGCGGCATGCGGGCTCTATAGTTGTGGCGCACGGGCTTAGTTGTTCCACGGTATGTGAGATATTCCCAGACCAGGGCTCGAACCCGTGTCCCTTGCTTTGGCAGGCAGATTCTTAACCACTGCGCCACCAGGGAAGTCCCTGGATAAGCATTTAAATGACTATGTGGTAACCCACCAAGTTGAAATAGCATCATTTAGTTATTCTGTTACACAAACGCATGCCTCCGATCTGATCCCCAAGAGCAAACCTCTGTCCTCAGCCCGGGTCAGGCACGTCTTCTCATGTAGAAAGTCAGCATTCTGCGTTTTCTGCTAGTGATCTCCCCTGTGATGTCAGGAGTGCTGCCAGGTCCGGATTAGGAGTCATGAAACTGTTTTCAGTTGTGATAATGGAGTATTTTCTTTCCATAGTTCAATTTACAAATGTTTGGAGGTTTTTTCCTTCAACGTAATCCTCCAAACACAGAGACACACATCCCAAACAAACAAAACCCGTCCCACCTCCCCAGCCTCGGAGCACCTGCTGAGAGCACCTTGCCGCCCACAGGGTTTCGTCCCGTGGGTCAGCCGCACACCTCCCCGGACTTGCTCGTCAGCGGTGCGGACACAGCTAGCGAGGTGCTTGCCCAGCCCAGACAGACCCTGACAGGCTCCAGACCGGCTGGCGGTGTTCTCTCTGCCGGAGACACGTGGCATTTGCCAGGGCAAATGTCTGAGGGCGCTTCTGGTCGTCACAGCTGGGGGTGCTACTCACATGTAGCGGGTAGAGCCAGGGGCACTGCTCAAGCTCCCACGATGCAGAGGACCGCGCCCACCACAAAGAATTGTCTGGCTCAAAACATCAGGCCACACCTGAAAAATCCTGCCCTACCGTGTAAACTTTATGAAGGCAGGGGTTATTCTTTAAATAAGACTCAATTTTTTTAGAGCGGTTTGAGGTTCATAGCACAATTGAGGGGAAAGGACAGGGTTCCCCGCCCCACACGTGCACAGCTTCCCCTTATCAGTATCCCTACCGGGTGGGACAGTTCTTAGTAACTGACAGCCCTACACAGATGTGTCACCATCCCAAGGCCTTAGTGTACATTAGGGTTCGTTCATGGTGTTGGACGTTCTGTGGGTTTGCACAGGTGTATAAGGACATGGATCCATCATAGTATCGTGTGGAGTATTTTCATTGCCCTGAAAGTCCTCTGTGCTCTGCCTATTTGTCCCTCTCCCCCTCCCCCACCCCCACTGATCTTTTTATTTTCTCTAGTTTTGCCTTTTCCAGAATGTCATATAGTTGGAATCATGCAGTGTGCAGCCTTCTCAAACCTGCTTCCAGCCCTACCTCTGCCTGGAAACGTCATTATTATCCTGATTTCTAACGGCCTGGTTTTAGTCACGTCCTATTTTTGAGTTTTATATAAAAGGAAGCGTACAGCATATGTACTTCGGGGTCTGGCTTGTTCTGCTCAACACCATGAGATTCATGCACAGTGTTGCGTATCATTGTAGTCGGTTCATTTGCAGGGCTGCAGCGTTCCACGGTACGAGGCTGCCTTTCCGTTCCCATAGGGGGACGCTTGGGTTGTTTCCAGTTGTGGTTACTACAGAGAGTGCCACTGTGGTGAGCCCGGTGTGCATGTCCTTCCCCTTTGTGAAGAGGCAGCTCTCTTTGCTCACGGGGTCAGAGTTACGCCTTCTGTTTAGTGTGTGTTGGGCTGTTGGTGTTTCATTAACTGGGGCCCATCCCTTTCCAGGATGGAAAGGAGCAGACCAGCTCAGGCAGCTCAGTTCCATTGTGACAGACCACTGTCACCTGGGGAGCAATTTGTTAGAATAACACCTGTTTGGGATTTTATTGGCTTCTGGCTTTTTACTTCATGGACAGGATTTGGCGATGAAGTTCAAACAAATAAATCCCCAGCTGTTGACGCGAAGAACAAAGACCTTAAAACTGCCTTGGAATCAACATTGGCAGAAAAGTTTTCTTAAAGGACCAGAAGACAATTTCTACTGGGGTGAAACAAAAATGTGTTAGGGTTTCACTTTTTAAAATGCAACGGCAATGTCAGTTGTATCTCACAGAAATTTTCTAAAGATGTAAGGGCACTTCCGAAACATTATGCTAGAGAAGCAAGAAACGGAGACCACATATTGTCTGACTCCATTTATATGAAACATCCAGAACAGGCAAATCCACGGGGCAGAAAGTAGACTAGTGGCTGCAGGGGGCTTGGGAGGAGGGGGATGGGCACCGACTGCTTAGATGGGGTGGGTTCCCCGGGGGGCAGTGAGATCTTCTGAAACAGGGTAGAGTTGGTGGCTGCACACCACAAGTGTAGTTGAATCCTCTGAATTGTTCACTTTAAAATGGTTAATTTGGGACTTGCCTGGCGGTCCAGCGGTTATGACTCTGCGCTCCCAATGCAGGGGGCACGGGTTCGGTCCCTGGTTGGGGAACTAAGATCCTGTATGCCGCATGGCCAAATAAATAAATTAATTAAGTAAAATGGTTAATTTACCTTATGTGGATTTCATCCCTTCACATCTGTCTTGGTGCAGAGCACATGATAGGTATTTAATAGACACCTTTGAGTGAGCAGGTGGTGCTTATAAATACACATACAGATTTATTTATTGCTTTCTGTGATTTCTCCTGATTGTATTGAAACACTGCATATTCACATCGTTTTTGGGTCTAAACTGCTTTCCTGATTTCTCTTTTATAGATAGAAGATGGTGAAATTTTTGCAAGTATTAATCAGAAGGATGGGATGGTCAGTTTCCATGATAACCCTGAAAAATATAATAACCCCGCCATGCTTCATAACATCGATCAGGAGGTAAATACGAATGCCAGGTGTTTTGGGCTGATGTTTATGATGTTATACCTGAAACACTGACTGTATGTTCCAAGATAATTTTAGCTCTAAATACGGGTAGTTCCCAACTAGTTTTCTAAGAACATCTTATTTCTTAGAAAGTTAATTTCAAGGTGGACTCTCCCAGGTTGTACGATTATAAGTAGATGGTGGGTTAGCTTATTTGTCTAGCTCACCAAAGCCTCCTTCAACTCCTGAAACAGTTGAAGGGTCTTAGAATCGGTACGGTTTTATCCGTACCCAGTGGCCACCTATACTGTAGAGCCTTCAGTAATGTGAATCTGGAGCCCCAGCTCAGGAAGTCAGGAATCCCCTGTCTCTGCTGGGGGAGAGCGGGCAGCTGGAGGAGACGAGCCATCCGCGGTTGCCCCTGGGCAGCAGCGTGGGCCCCGGAGCGCATCCTGCTCCGAGTGCTTACTGGGATCTGGACATGAGCGAGGAGTGTGTGGGTGGTCTGGTTTCTTACCTCTGTTTAGGCAAACGGATTGAACTGAACAGCTTCAGAACCTTCAAAGCAGTATGTCTCCACCATCTGTTTTTGGCAATTCCGAGTTTTCTTTAAAAAACCCTGAAAACGGGAAGGTTTTTTATGTAACTCGTGATGGCAAATGAATATTTTTAGGTCTCACTGCAAAAGATGTCAGGGTGTTTGATGACGGGGTGCTGCCCCAGGCCCTGCTGTACTGAGTTGCTGACGGAATCCAGAACTTCTGACTCCAGAATTCGTCTGGCCCCAGGGTTGTGACCCTGTAGCACCCACAGTAATAGTCTAGGCTAAAAAGGTGACGTTGCCCTAAACCCGCTCACTCAGCGCATCCGCACCTGCCTGCCACACAGATGCTGAGGTGCATAGAGCTGGACGAACGGCTGAGGGCCATGGACCAGGAGATCACAGTGAACCCCCAGTTCGTGCAGAAGGTGACTGGGGCCCCTCACTCACTGAGTGGGCCGGGCGGGGCGGGGTGGCATCCTCCATCAGGAGTGTGAGCTTGTGCTCAGAAGCCATATCGGGGAGGCTCACAGAGACATACTCGTTGGGGACGTTTCCAGACTCCAGGCTGGAAGTGTGTTTAGGGATGAGGGTGGGGGTCCTGGACCTGCCTACCCCACACACGGGGTGGCGTCCTCGGGGGCGTAGGTGTCCGGGGCTGGCGGGAAACCCTTGGCCAGGGCAGACAAGCGCACTGCCTCTCTCCCTCCCTTCCAGAGCATGGGGTCACAGGAAGACGATTCCGGAAACAAGCCATCCAGTTATTCCTGAAGCCAGTGCCCCTCCTGAGTTTCAAAGAAGCCTTCTCCGTGTACGGGGCAGGTGTCGGGAAGGCAGCAGGGAGGACCAGGCCCGTCTCACCTAGACACTAAGGCGGTGTGTTTTGTTTTGACGTCTTCGGTCCTGTGTGCTTTCAGAAAACCATTCTCTCTGCAAAGAAAGGAAAACGTTTTCAAACTTTAAAGCCTGTTGTGGATTTATTTATCCTCAGATTAATGTGGTTATTGCATTAAATCTACCTTTTTGTTTTAAATTATTTGAACATTGGCGTGTCTTCTGTATCACTTTTTTCCTCAGAAAAGCTTTTAAAAAACATATTCATTGTGAACAGATACAGATTTTAGGAATTATTGGAAGATGTGAATCTAAAGTTGATATCAGGGGACTTCCCTGGTGGCACAGTGGCTAAGAATCCACCTGCCAATGCAGGGGACACGGGTTTGAGCCCTGGCCCGGGAAGATCCCACACGCCGCGGAGCAGCTAACCCTGTGCGCCACAACTACCGAGCCTGTGCTCTAGAGCCCATGAGCCACAACTGCTGAGCCCACGCGCCACAACTACTGAAGCCCGCGTGCCTAGAGCCTGTGCTCCGCAACAAGAGAAGCCACCACAGTGAGAAGCCCGCGTACCTCAACGAAGACCCAACGCAGCCATAAATAAATAAATAAAATAAATAGTTGATATCGGTTGCCTTAAAAAAAAAAAAAAGCTGGGAGAGTCCATCAGGCCGAAGCTAATGTTTTGAAATTAGAACTCACGTTCACGTGAGTGACAGGGTGGCTTGTGAATTGAGCAGATACGGCTGTGCTCATGGGGACCTTCGGTGTGGGGGCCGCCCTTTTGGAATTTCAGGGGCTTTTTTTGTGAGACAAACACCAGACTGCCGCTTTTTCTTCAGAAGCATTTTCTGTTCATCTGCACAGTTGCATTTTGATCGTGTTCAGGGTCCCTTCTCTTCAGAACTCTGGAATGCATCTGACTCGGGTCCCCTGATTTAGCCCCAGGGTGGTGTGGAGCCTCTGTAAGGTGTGCTCAGATTAAACTGGAATCTGGTCCTTAAAGAACCTCTTGCTAGTAGCATTCGCTGTTTAAAATGTGTCCAGTTGTGTAGTCAGGCACATTTGCATTATTTACAAAAAGAAACAAACCTCATGCCTAAAAAGTTGCTCTAACAGAGAGGCTTTGGGGTCATGTGGTCTGTCGTGACAACCACTGCTTTGCTGCAGGAAAGCAGGCACGGAGCATCTGATCCGTAAACGAGAGGGTGAGGCCGGATTCGGTAACGCTGACGTAAAAATAGGCGAGGGCTGGATTTGACCCCTCATCCATGCTCTCAGTTCTCCAGCTTAGATGCGCTATGTCATTTGCATGTGTACTTCCACGTGCCTGTACTTAGGAAAGAGGAAATATCTAATGGAAAATTTCCAGGTTTCCCTGGTGGCACGGTGGTTAAGAATCCATCTGCCAATGCAGGGGACATGGGTTCGAGCTCTGGTCCGGGAAGATGCCACATGCCGTGGAGCAACTAAGCCCGTGGGCCACAGCTACTGAGCCTGAGCTCTAGAGCCCGCGAGCCACAGCTACTGAACCTATGTGCCACAACTACTGAAGCCCGCGCGCCTAGAGCCCGTGCTCCGCGACAAGAGAAGCCACTGCAGTGAGAAGCCCGCGCACCGCAATGAAGAGTAGCCCCCGTTCACCGCAACTAGAGAAAGCCCACAGGCAGCAACGAAGACCCAAAGAAGCCCAAAATAAATAAATTTATTTTAAAAAAAAGAAATTTTCCCTCTACCAGTGTGGCAAGTTACACAGTCTTGTTTTTATAAAAACAATTGGACAACTTCTGATTTACCTGAATCTGAATTAAAATCACCTCAACTGTGTTCGAGAATTCTAGTAGTTGCCAGTCATGGCTATTTAAGGAAAAAGTAACTTTCTTGTGGGCTCCTCATGTGGACACTACTAGATTTTCCCCCGAATAGTGATTCATTGAAACACAGCATTATTTTGAAACTTTGATTTCCAGAGGGCCCGGTGTTTAGGGCCTGGTCCCGCGTTCGCAGGGCACTCACGTGAGCCCTTCCTGTCGGGGTTGGGGAGGAGGGCCCTCACTCCTGGCCCTCACACCTGCCCTCGTGTGTTCTCTTGGTTCTGGGGCTAGAGCTCTGCAAACCTAGGGAGGGAAGGAGCAGGCCCCCCTGCAGTCGGCTCTGGACCCTGGCAGGGTGCTGGGGATCCGCCTCACTGCAGCCCCCGTGTCCACGTGGCAATACAGCCCAGGAGACAGGCCTCCCCCTCCACAAACCGTCGGGGACCCAGTTCCACTGGGCACCTCTTCCAGCCACCTACATTCTATGAATCCCTTGGGAGACTTTTTCCCCTTTTCTAATGCGTGGTTAATGGCTCTGCTACATTGTTTCTATTCAACTGGCCAGCGGTTTCTCTCGACAGCAGTGGCTTTTGAAAATCTTGGGTCAAGATGAGTGGCCTCGTTGGTTACTAGAAGTGAGCATGAGACCCCACATGCTGAGCAGATGTTGCCTGGCACTGCCTGAGTCTCGTTTTTGAATAGTTACCAGAATCTGTTTGCGTGAATAGTTAAGATAGCCTCAGCCATTCCTTGGAGTTCATTCTCAGCAGCAGCTCCCTTTGTGAACACGTTCCCTTGAATACCTGCAGCATTTTGATGGTGCCCGAAGATGGTGAGCTTGCACCTAGGCAAGTAGGGCAGTTTCTGAGGTCCAAGGATGTAGCCTGGGGTTGGTGTTCATTAGTGGACCTACTCTTTCTCTGTGGACTCTTTAAAGTGTGTCTTTTCATGGTGCTCTCAAATGTTAATAAGTACTCCAGATTAACGAGAATAACTGATCGCCCTCAGAATTCAGTACTTGCGTTATATGTGTTTCTATTTGTATCGGTGCTCAGTGGGAACCCCCCCGCCTCCCCTCAAAGGGACAGTATTCAGCTTCTAGTCTAGACTTTATTAGGTGAGTAGCTTGGTCTGCGGGGCCTCCAGTTTGAGATATACCGGTATAAGGTATTCTTTAAAGAAACATCTGGTTGCATGTTTTTGAAATGACAGTAGATGTTTTCTGAGCCAAAGAATGGTACTAAATGGGCAATAATGGAATTTTTCTGGCCTGCATGGAAGGCACCTTCTTTATTTTGTTTATTAAGTACATCGGAATCCCAAGCAAAGCTGGATGATAGAACATTCCTGGGAAGAATCCTAACTAGCCCTAGTAACAGGATACAATGCCTGTGTCATCTAGCCAGGGACAAATGCATTTAATTTTCCAGTACATAATTTAGCAGAGGGTCTTATAAAGCTTTCTTAGCTTTTTAAGCGTGGCATTCACAGGTGGACCGTCCTTGTTCACATTCCCTCCTCTGTCTATGCCAATGGTCAACTCGTGTTCTAATTCTTTTCTATTACTTGCTTTTCAAAGATGCAGTTTTGGATTTGTAAATTCTAAGTTTCTGGGTTGCAACTTGAAACAGTAGCCAATTTGTAGAAGAAAACTGTTATTTGCATGTAAGCCTGAGCAGTTGCAAAGGGCCCAGAGAAAATAAATGACAGGGTAAATCAGATACTTGTGAATGGGGAAATATGATGGCTACTCTTCTTAGGCAGTTAAATTACTTAACGGTGGTGCACAAAGACAAAATCCTATCTGTATCCTGTTCTAAAATCAAAAGCTGAAACCAGAGAACTTTCGCTAATTGTAAAAGGCATTTAATAAGCCTGTATCCATAATGGACTGTTAACGTTTATTATTAGACTAAAAAGTAGCTGCTTGGGGTTTAAGAAGCGGTTAGTATTAGATTAAAACACAAGCAAGCTATCAGTTGAATTCTAATTGGGGAGGAGAATTAATTTTTTTAAAGTTTCCTGAAAGTGCTGTGATAAAAAATGCAAAATAAACTAGGATTTTTTTTTTTTTTGTAAGAGATAATATTGGATGACTAGTAATTCTTGCCTTGCAACTGGCCGGACACCTTATGCGCAGAGTTGACTGTCTAATATCCCAAAACCTCAGCGTGATATACAAGTCCTGCACGAGTTCTCCTTCTGAAATATTACCCATTACTTGCTTGCTGCCGTTCAGCAGCTGGTCAGACTCCCAAACTGTTATACATATCTAAAAACCCAGGGAATGTTGTCTTGGTTGCTGCAAGAAATGAAAGCTGAGATTATTTATTCTTGTAACAGGGAACCTATTATAGTACCCTTAAAATAATGACATGATTAAAAGTGTTAGATCCAACTTGCCTACAAATAAAACATACCTCTTCCTTCTGAAACTGAAAACTAATTCAGGGACATGGTGGTTTTGACTCAAAGATAAAGCCCAGCTGTATTCTATAGCTACACAAGGGCATATGTTAGGGAGAGTGCACCTGAAAACCTCAAAGGACATTTTCACAGTGAGACTTTTTACTTTTCTCTCTTCACTTGGCTCTGTGGTCTTGGCAACTGGCATCCGTGAAGCACCCTCCCAGTCTGGATGCTCAGCTGTCAATACATCCCCAGTAAAGCCCCTTCGTTTGGCAGTAGGAAGGCAGAAAAGCATCAAGAAATCTTCAATTCTGATTGACCCCATTTCAGTGATGGAAAAACATGTTCTGGACTATAAATGCCAGGCAAGAGTACATCCAACACTTTTGGTAACATTTCTTAAGATTCCTGTTATGGGATAGAAGCTCTGAGTTCAGCATGGTATTTCATTTAGTTGAGCATTATTGGGGATTATTGCCACCTATACTTTGTGAACATTGCTGCTGAGTTTTGATCGCCTTTCCCACTGATAGGGTGGGTTACATTTTCTGACCTCTGAGATGTCCCTTTCGTTGAATGTCCCTAAAAGTTTATCCTCTTTGAGTCAGTTTAATTAACCCTTGGTACAATTCACTAATTCAAGGAATTGGCCTGTAGTTGTTACTTTTAAACAGATTTATAGATTTATTTGAGAAAGCACCTCCAAAAGTGGTGCTGGCAAAGATATTAATGGCATAAATGGGGTCGAGCTGCCGTCGAATGCGCGTTGAGTTTTATTGAAAATGTCAGTGGTTGAATAAACCTTCCTTCACTTGGGACCTCCATTAGCCTATCATCATGGAAATAAGGATAATCTGATCAAGATGGTGTCCTCCAGTGACAAACTGAGGAAGTTAATTCTTGGAATTAAAGTTACAAAATGAAAAAGCAATTTTTTTTCTTGGCTTAAAACCCGACTAACCAATGTTTCAAGAACAACTACCACTAAGAGAAAATGGGAAATAACAAGATTACAGTTGTTGGAAATGTTTTCTTTTACAAGTTGGAAAGGCACAGACATACTAGGAGGCTGCAAACATTTCTGGAACCTTTCCACTAAGGCTTTCAAAGAGCATTTGGCAAACTCAGTAAAATTCATGAGCCATAGAGAAGCGGCCCCGCAAGTCAACCAGCGGCCCTCGGACACGTCACATCACGTCCTGAGGGCTTTCGGACTGACCTCTAAGTACACAGCCTGAATAAAAGGCGCCCAGGTTCAAGAAGATTATCACTCGATAACTACGTTTTTTTAAAAAACGACGCGCTGCTGGGTAGGGAAGAGAGGGACACAGTCGCGCACGCGCACCCCACCCCGCCTTCCCCGGCGTCGCGCAGTTCGTGCGTCACCGGGCGACCGTCTTCCGCCCCGCCCCCTGACCGCACGTTCCACCGAAGACTGGTTCCAACGGAAATTTAATGAAAACTAACGGTGAAACCAAAAGGAATTACAGCGTCATTTATAACGTCGCGACGTTCTCTTTCTTTCTTCCTTCGGTGTGGACTGGGAGTCCTAGGATAGATATATTTTTCCTCAAATCTCTTTAAAAACTTTTTTTAATTAAAGCATCCTTCCCCCCTTCTGGAATGGTTTCCTCCGCCGCCCCCGCCCGCGCGGGCGGAACCACTCCGGGCTTCTCAGTGGGGGCACAGGCTGGGGCGGCGGAGGGGGTCGGGCAGCTGCTGCAGCGTTCCGCCAGACTTTGGAGCTGCCGGGCTCGTGCTGTCTTCCCGGGCTGCGAGTCTGGTGGGGCTCCGCGCGCCTCGCGGGGTGGGGGCGTCGGACGGCCCGCTCCCCCTCCTCGGCCCGGGCGGTGGTACCTCCCGGCCGAGTCACGCGCCCCGAGGCGGGCGCGGCGGATCTGTGAGGGTACACGGTGAGGAGAGCCACTTCGCGGACCCGGAGGGAGGCCGAGAGAGTGGGGAGGGGGATAGGGCCGGAGACCCAGGAGGGGGGCGCGGCGCGGCGCGACGCGACCTGGAGCTTGGAGCCAGGGCGGGTCCCCGGCCTGTCCGGTCAGTCGGGCCGCGCGGTCCAGGGCGAGGGGGGCCGAGCCCGCCGGCCGGGGAAGCCGGGCTGAGGGGCGGGGTGGCAGGGTTCGGCGACCCTGGAGCTGAGGGGGCGACCAGTATGGCGGGTACGGTCGGGCGCGGCCTGGTTGCGGAAGGGGTGGGTCGCGGCGGCCGGAGGCACTGGGTCCCCAGCGCGGGGGTACTTGGCAGCCCTGCGGGGGCCCTCGGAGTGGCCGGGGGACCCGGGTCTCCGAGAGGACATGCTGAGGCGCCAGGTTACCAGTGGTTGAGTGACAGTGGCGCGACGCCGCGGTACCTTCGGGTGTCACAGGTCTGTCCCCCGTGCACGAGGCCGGGCCGCCGTCGGGGTGCTGCAGCGTGTGTGATGCGGGTCGAGAGCTGCCGGGCTCAGCGCATCCTTAACCTTCCGTGGTCCTCGGGCGGACCGCAGTGGGGTAGAGGGACCCGGGCCAGGGTGCACCGCGGGAGGGGGTCGTGCCCACGGCACTGTCGCGATGGGAGGGGGCGTGGACAGGACCCTACCCTTCAGGGTGTAATGTTGAGCCTGTCGGGCGGGGGAGGGTTTTTGCCTCTTGGTTTCTGGAAGGCTGGTTGGAAAGGAAGGACTGTTGGGCATCCGGTAAAGACAGATTGGAATCCGAGAGTGAGTGGAGACCCGGCCTCATGCTGCCCGAGTTCGGGTGCCACGGGCCGTAGTCCCCTCCCAGGCCTGTGGGGCTCAGCTTTAGGTTAGTGCCAAGAGAGGTATTTGGACCTGTCGGAGGTCACCTGGCTGCTCGGGGCTGGAGACAGACGTTTTTCCGCGTGCGCAGGTCGGGAGAGCTAAGTTTTATCTAGGCTGTGGCACCCCTGATTCCAGTAGTCAGAACTCTTGTCAGACAGGAGTGCTTCCCATTTAAAGCAAAGTAAGAGTAGCCTGTCCCACGGGAAGTAGCTTAGCAACATCACCTCTGCTCTCTCCTTCCCACGTAAGGGTGGGCCTGTGGTCGGAAGGGTTAAATGGGCATGATGTGGGTGCTGCCCCCTTATAACCAAGAGCAGGAAGGATGAGGACTTTATATTTTTAAATATCTTATGTTTTATATAGACATTTAAATATAAGTACCTGTATCACAAGGGCTCCTTTATGAAACATGGCTGTAGACTTTGACCACAACATCGGCTTTCTGTCGCTTGCTGCTTACAAGGCAAGTGGCCTGCTGAACCACTCAGAACCACATCCTCTGTGTGATGTTCTCATTTGAGATCGGCTGTAAGCTGCTTGCATTTTTTTTTTTTTCCCATGCCCACTGCTCTTAGAATTGGCTCTGATTTTTTTCCTTACCTAGAAAGCGTCAGGTCTTAGAGCTGAGGTATTGACCGCCGTTGCAGTGCCTGACTCGTTTGGCAATGGCCTTGCTGGCTGTCACCTGGGCGGGGTGGTGGCTGTGTGGTCCTGCTGGGTGTAGAGGTTCGTGTTGACATCATCCACGAGCATCCCCCTTTCTGTGGCAACAACTGTCCTCTCCCCAGGCAGCTCCTAAATTCACTTGTCTACCCCCCGTCAGATTGGTGCCCACTGTGTGTCGGGAGCTGAGAGAGGTGGCTGGGTGTGAGCACTGCTGAGGGCCCTCTCTGAGCAGGGGGCGTGCAGGGAGAGGCCGCGCGCGAGGAGCGAGCCGCTGGAGGGCTGGGGGCGGCGTTCAGGGCCTTCCTCACCGGCCCTGCCCTCCTGGCCCTCTGCTGTTAGAATCTCCATGGAGCTCAAGGTCTTCCAGCTAAATGTCCTCCTGTCTTAAACTGTCTTCTGTCCCACTGCTCAGCTCCCTCCGGGAGCCCTCCGTGCCCTGGCTCGCCATGGCCTCCAGCTGCCCTTCCTGTCCCCTGTCCGACCCCCAGATGTCTCCTTTGGGTTGGCCTCTGCCGCTCCTACTAGCCTGTGCGGGCAGGTGGGCGGCCCACGTCAGCTGAGTGGTTGACCGCAGACATCAGGTGGTGGCAGAGCGAGCAGGCGCGTAGCGAAGTGGCTCCAAGTGTGGCCACCAGCGGGAGGCCTCTCGAGGGCCCGTGGAGGGACCCAGTGGGCGAGGGTGCCGCTCCCCGGGACCCGCTCCACAGACTCCCTGCCCCCGCCGTGCATGTTCACACTGTCTGCTGCCTTCCTCTGTCCTCCGGGTTCAGCGTCCCGAGCAGGTGCCTCTGACTTGCCAGGCCACGCTCAGGCCTGCGCCTGCCGACCAGGGGGTGAGCACAGAGCATGTCTGACCTTTGATTCCGTAATGGGGGGTGGCGTTCTCCAGTGGATCCTGCCGGTGTCCACTACGCAGTCAGACGTCGGTAACTGAAATTGTCCTTCACTGTTTTGAGCACGGCTGTCCAAGAGAACTTTCTGTGGTGATAGAAATGTCCCTCCCACGGTCTGTGCTGTCCTTTTAAAATGGTGGCCGCGAGCCACATGTGGCTGGTGAGACAGGAAGGGGGCCCTTCATCGTCGTTAATTCGGATCTGAGCTGCCACACGTGGCTCTTGGATGCTGTGGCCTGGAGAAGACTTGTTCCCACTTTAGCCTGGCTCCCAGGCCCTGCTGTGTCACACGTGTCACGTCGGCTGGGCGGTCACTGTCCCGCCTCTGTTCCTCCACTACCTGCTGGAGCCTAGTGGACAGACGCCCCACCTTTAAGGTTTCCCCGCAGAGGGCAGTGCGCCTGCGTCCCCGCCACGCCCTCCCCGCCCTCTGCTGCCCTCCTCCGGGGCGATTCTGCTCACGTGGTCTCCGGCGTGATACTGGACTTCGCCTCACTGCCTGTCCTCCGCCTCACTGCCTGTCCTCCTTTGTCATCTTGACCAGCTCTTCCTCCCTCCCACGCCTGAGCTCTGGGGCCCAGGTCCCCCAGCGCTGGCTGCCCCACTCCCATCTCCCGTGGCCTGTCATCGTCATCTCCACCGGAGGCTTAGTAGGCGCTGCTCTCGGCCGTCTTCTGCCACCCGCACGTCCCCCGCTTCCTTCTTTGTTCTCTGCAGTCCGCCCGTGAGCAGCGTCTGCATATCTCTTTGGGACACACTCACGCTCTGACGGTCCTCAGCGCCTTCCCCCGCCCACCCTGGCCCAGGCCAGCTCGCTTCCCTGCGTCCGCCCTGGCTCCTGCACAGTGGCCAGGACGACCTTTTAAAATAACATTCTAATTTATTGTGTTTCTCATCAGAACCCACCAAAGGTTCTCTGATGTTTGAAGAAAAGTTCAGGGTCTTACCATGGCCTAGAAGGGTCCCTAAAATCCACCTCTTGCTTGTCTTCTGCCCTCACCCCCCGGCTCTGCAGACATTCAGGCCCCGTCACGGCCCCTCCTCAGCCCCCGTGGTGCCCTCTGTTCCTTCCGCTGTCACCTGGGAGTCCTTTTGTCCGAAACTACATCCCCCCTCCTCTAGTGTTTTTCTGTCCTGGGCCCCTGTCCTTGTCTCCCTAATGCGGTCACCGCACTAGGGGAAGCGGTGTGCCGTGTGTCCCTGCCCTCCTGGAAGGTAAGCTCCGTGAGGCAGCATCACATCACCTGAAACATCGCCCGGCACACGGGAGCCGCTCCACTGCTGTCCATGGAACAGATGCCCCCAGGGCGGCGGCGTGTGTGTGTGTCTGTGTGTCCGTCCCCATCTGCCCACCTCGTGGCCCTCCCGGCACAGTCCTGACTGAAGGGTTTCTGTGTGATCCGCATTAAGTTTCCTCTCCTCTTTGTCCTAACTCCTTGTGGACAGGGACGGTGTCTGCTTTGTGTCCCCTGCCGCCGATGCAGTGCTGGCCCAGAGTGGGTGCTGGGCAGTGCTGCCTGGCTGGGTGACCTGCCTCTGCTGGACAGAAGCCCGTTGAGGACAGCAGAGGTCGCTGGGCTCCGGAGCCGGCAGGTTCTGGGGCCAGCTCATGGCATCTCCCTCCTCTCCCCAGCAGGCCTGGCACAGCCTCCAGGGCGCCATGAATGCCATCGTCGCGCTCTGTCACTTCTGCGAGCTCCACGGCCCCCGCACGCTCTTCTGCACAGAGGTCCTGCACGCCCCGCTTCCGCAAGGGGCGGGGAGCGGGGACGGCGCCGGCCGGGGCGAGCACGCTGAGGAGGAGGAGGGCGGCATCCAGATGAGCAGCCGCCTCCGTGCCCACAGCCCGGCGGAAGGGGCCAGCGCGGAGTCCAGCAGCCCGGGGCCGAAGAAGTCGGACATGTGCGAGGCCAGTGTCTCCTGGGGCGTCGGGGGCGTTTCTTCTCCGCCGGCGCTCGGGCTTGACCTCCTGGGGGCGGACAGGAGGCCGCACGCCCTGGGCGTGGCCTCACGGGCGTGGGCCGTGTGGTGTGCGCTTGCTGCTTTCCTTCCCTCCGGTCCTTTCCCTTCGTCCCAGCTTTAGCTTGTTCAAACCACCCTGCCAGCCGACGCTGGCCACCACCGTGGGGCCTGCCCTTCCGGCCTCGCCTCGCTCACTCGTGTCCATGCGCTGCCTTCTCGGCTCCCGTCCGCTCAGTCTGGCGTCCTCCTCGCGGGCACCCTGCCCGCTTCGTGAGCTCTGGGGGATGAAGGTTAGGTCCCCGCACCAGGCCGCTTCTTCACGTGGAGCCCTGGGTCGGGACTGGAAATCAGGCTGGCGTTGGACCTGTCACTACAGGGTGGACAACGATCCAGCTGTGTTAGCTTCGTTCCATTGAGAAGCAGTCGCTGAGCTCGAGCTTGACTGATTCATTGTGAGGGATCAAGGGTGGGGAGCAGAGGTGGGGAGGGCCCTCTGCTGTGAACGGCCGCTGCCTGTGATGGAGAGGCAGGCAGGAAGGAGGCCTGCGCGGTGGGGGCCTTGGGGGCGGGTCCTTGAGCTGGAATGGCCTTGGGAGGCGTCCTGCATCGCCCAGGGAGGGGCTGGCTCCAGGGCCTCTGTGCGCAGTCCCAGGTTGGGGGCTGCCACCGGGGCTCACAACATTGGCGCCAACGTGACAGTGGCTTCAGAGGGGCAGCAGCCAGGGCCGCCGGTCCGGTCCCTTCCCCATGGCAGGGGGTCTGAGCATGTGTTCTCAGGCGGCCACGCCAGTGCCAGAGTGTGGCAGCCTCCCTTGGCACGAGGTCCCTGCCAAGTGGTCGTGCCCGGATCGAGGACGGAGGGTCCGGGCCTCAGTTTTGCCACCTGTGAGGTGGGGATTCTCCTGGTAACTGTCTCACAGGTTTGCTCCTTGGATTAGGTGAGGTGATGGGTACAGAGCTCTTCGGGATCCCTGCTGCATAAGTGCCAGTAGATGAGGTCCAGTGACCTCTGTGTTCAGTAGATTCGATGCCCTCTGACGACCTTTGTGATGTGTGCATCCTGACTTTCCTACTCGGGAAACACGGAAATCCTCAGTCAAGTATAACTCTAGGAGCCGGTTGTTCTTATGTGAAAACAGATTGAATTTTCTGCTTGAGATTTGCATAAGAGTCAGCAAGCATGTTGCTGGCTAACTGGTTTTCTTCTCTTTCTCGTGGGCAGGGCTGCCGGTCACTTGCTGCAGGGCATCCCGGGTACATCAGCCATGACAAGGAGACCTCGATCAAGTACGTCAGTCACCAGCACCCCAACCACCCCCAGCTCTTCAGCATCGTCCGCCAGGCCTGTGTGCGGAGCCTGAGCTGCGAGGTGAGCACCCGTGACCCGGGGCCTCTGCGAGAGTCGCTCACGTGCGTGCCAGCACGCCCTGAGCAAGCTCGGTGTCGGTTACGGGAAGGAAGGCAGACGGCAGCCCGGAGACGGCCGGGCAGGTCCCGGAGTGAGTCACGTTGCACCCTGGTTCGTTGCTAACTTACCATTTTAAGCACCAGGCTTTCGTTATTCGTTCTTCGTGGACGTGTTGCTAAGGTGTGAAGTGTTTGTAGGTGTGTGGCTCCCATCAGATGTCACCTTCGTGTCGTCTCTGTCACGTCAGAGCCTCAGTGCTCATCACGTGCTCTCTTAGCCGACCGAGGCGTGAGTCTGTGTTTCTAAGACACGTGGCTGCCGTTGTCGAGTTGTCTTAGCCTCTGTGTCTTTGTCACAGAGAGTTCACAGCCTAGTCGCTCCCACTTCCTGTCACTGCCCCACTTGATCGTCCTCACTGCTGCCATGTGCCCGCCTGGCTGTGTCCCTGCCGGTGGGCAGCTGATCGTGTCTGGTGGGGTTGTGTGTAAGAGTGGGTGTGGTGTGAGGGAGACCCACGTTCTCTCCTACACATAACATATGCAGATTTTTTATTACGTGGACTCTGCAGTGGCTGTTTTGACTTGCCAGTTCTCTGGTATGTTCCAGATGAGTGATGTTGGCAAATCTGAGCCTGGGGTAGATGTAATACTTGTATACGAGTTATTTATGACTCAAGGTAAGAAAAATTAACGAACCTACTGGTCCTTGGGTTTCATGGTAACGAACGTTCTCTTTAGGAAGTTCGGTCACGAGAGAGATGAGCAGAGTTTTCCTTTCTCATCCCTGCCCTTTCCCCTCTCCCTGTAACTGATGCTGACTAATTAGCGCAGAAAGAAGAGTGAGCAGGAGGGTTTGAGTGCTGCAGCACGCAGAGGGCGGTGTCCTGCAGCGCTGTCCTTGTGTCCCAGGTGTGCCCCGGCCGCGAGGGCCCCATCTTTTTTGGGGACGAGCAGCACGGCTTTGTGTTCAGCCACACATTCTTCATCAAGGACAGCCTGGCCCGGGGCTTCCAGCGCTGGTACAGCATCATCGCCATCATGATGGACCGCATCTACCTCATCAACTCCTGGCCCTTCCTGCTGGGCAAGATCCGTGGGATCATCGACGAGCTCCAGGGCAAGGCGCTCAAGGTGGCCCCGAGGCAGGGCAGTGGGTGGCGGGGAGGGAGGGCTGTGTGCGAGGGGCCAGGAGCAGGGCAGCGTTCCTGCCTGGGGGGTCCCCTGGCCGCCGCGGAGTCGGAGTTGCGGCGATAGGCCCGGGGCCAGCCGGTCCTGCTGGCTTCAGTGTCTCTCTCGAGTCTGTCGTTGTCTTGCTTCTCGCTTGGCTCTGCCTTTACTGCAGTCAGAGGCCTGGTTTGATCCCCGCTGTCTCTGCTTCCTCTGACCATCATTTCAGCAGCCTGTCCACTAGTGGTGTGACAGACCTGCACCTACCATGCATCTCCAGCCACAGCCCTGCATCTCCAGGGCCGCCCAGGATAGGCCAGTGGTGCTCTGGGAACAAACAGTGCTTAAGCCCCAGCAGCGTGTTTATGTCCATCGCAGGCAAGCAGGGGTCTGCGCGCTGTGGTCAGGCTGGAGTGGTGTTGCTGCCCAGTTGCCTGCTGGGGTGCACAGGTGGGGCTGGAGGCCGGGCTCCTCTCCCCCCTCGCAGGAAGTGGTCACGTGTTCCGCCCACACAGGGTCTGAGCAGCGGAAGCCCCCCGTGCCTGGAAACGGGGGTGCCTGGAAAGCGCAGATGCCCCCTGAGCCCCGTCACGTGCCGAAGAGTCGGTGTTGGGGAGGCCGCAGGAGAGACTCCTAACTGAGCCTCTTGTCAGGTGGCTTCTGATCCAGCGGGGGGACAAAGCTGTTCTCTTTGGGATGAGACCCGGGGCCCTTCTTTGCTCTTGGCCCAGAGAGCAGACTGGGGCCTGGGCTGCTGGCTGCTTTTGTCGTTAAGGGTCTTTCCCCTTCCTCTTGTGTGTCAGGTGTTTGAGGCAGAGCAGTTTGGGTGCCCACAGCGTGCCCAGAGGATGAACACTGCTTTCACACCGTTCCTGCACCAAAGGAACGGCAACGCTGCCCGCTCGCTGACGTCCTTGACGAACGATGACAGCTTGTGGGCGTGCCTGCACACCTCCTTCGCCTGGTAACCAGACTCGGTCTTCTCGTGGCCGCTGGGGCGTTGGCCGGACTGTGCCCAGCTTGGGGGGGACAGTTGCTGACAGGTCTGTGCTGTGACGCGTGAGTCCTGAACTGGGTTCAGTCCTTCTCGCCTCTGAGTGCGTGGAAGGCGCGTTAAGGCGGAGCTCCCTTCCCAGCGAGATTTTGAGCTGAAGTTCCTAGACCGAGACCAGTGGTCTCCCTCTCTGTGAGCAGCAGCAAGTCCTTGTCTTGCACAGCACTTGTGAGTCAGGACCCAGACGGGGGCTGAGCTGGGCCGCTCTGGCCCTGGTCCTTAGGTGGAGCTGCTGTCGTGTGAAGGCTGGGCTCCCTCGGGGCTGGCAGGTCGGTCTGGCCGTGGGCGGGAGGCCTCTGCTCGCCACGGTCATGCGGGTGATCCGGGGAGAGCGAGGTGGGCTCTGCTGGCTCTCACGACCCAGCCTCAGCAGCACACGGGCCCTGCCTGCACCTGGTTGTTAGAAGTAGCTCAGCCTAGGCGGGAGGGGAGGACCGGGCCCCGCTGTTGGAAGGGAGGAGTACCGACAGATTTGTGGACACACTTAGAAACCACCACAGTCTGTCCTCCGGTCACAGGTTGTTTCTCTTCCTCCCACTGCAGGATATGTTCCTTCCAAAGACTCCCCAGGTTCTCATTCCTGTGCAGCATCACCTAAATCAGGTCCTGGTGTGGGTGACGTTCCTCACATGTAATCCTAGAGTGCAGCTTCTGAGAACCTGCAAACTAAAGAGAAAAATATTTGTCTCCCCCACCCGGCAGACAGTTCCTCTTGTCTTTTAGAAATTATTATTATTATTATTATTATTTTGCGTTACACAGGCCTCTCACTGTTGTGGCCTCTCCCGTTGCGGAGCACATGCTCCGGACGCGCAGGCCCAGCGGCCATGGCTCATGGGCCCAGCCGCTCCGCGGCATGCGGGATCCTCCCAGACCATGGCACGAACCCGTGTCCCCTGCATCGGCAGGCGGGCTCTCAACCACTGTGCCACCAGGGAAGCCCCTAGGAATTATTTTAATTTGGGAAAATTTCAGACAGACCCAAAGTATAATACTACAAGGAACTTCACACCCTCCTACTTCAGCAGTTAGCGACATTTCACTGCTTTTTCATCTGTCCTTCACTTTTTTTTTTCTGGAATGTTTTTTAAAGCAAATCTTAGTTGTATCATTTCAACCATAAACCCATTATCACATGCAACAAAATGGACTCATTGCTTAGCATCATCCAGCCCAGTCCAAGTTCACTTTTCCTGCTTTGCCTCAGAGTTGACTCTGGCATTGGGACCAGCGCACCACCACACAGGGCGCGGATCGTGCCAGGCCTCTTAGTCTAGAGCAGCGCCTCGTGTGCCTCTGCCCCAACCTCCCTGCCTTTTGTTAGAGGCCTGGGCTGTGCGTCCTGTAGGAACCCCTCTGGCTGATCGAATCCTCGTGGTGGTACCCAACTTGTTCTTTTATGCCCATGTTTTCTGTTAACCAGTCGTTAGCTCAGGAGGGTTTATTGGCTTCGGGTCTAGTTTTCCTTTTGGCGAGAACACCGCATAGGTGGCACTGTGTTTCCCAGGCTCCTGAAGGCGTGCGGCAGCCGGCTGACCGAGAAGCTCCTGGAAGGCGCGCCCACTGAGGACACCTTGGTCCAGATGGAGCAGCTGGCGGGTGAGCTGGGAGGTGCCTGTGCTGGGAGCCTCTGCCGGCGGTGGCCTGGGGTCGGCCCGCCCTCAGCTCCCCTCTCCTCCATCCCAGCAGAGATAGCTGGTGGAGGGGGCCCCAGGAGCCGTGTCTACAAAAGCTCGCCCTTTGCTCTTCGTGGTTTTATTGTGATTTCCTGCCTCATCTTCCCTGACAGTCACGTGTAAGAGTCTGTCCGGGCAGGTTGGGAAAGACAATCCCCGGGGCTGTCGCTCTGGAGAGGTGGGTTGAGTGAGGCTTTTGTGTCCCTATCGTACAAGAAGCACTTACTCGGCCTGTCTGGATGGGGACCTGCTCTCTGCTCTTCAACAGTAAAATGTTGTCCTTTAGTTGGACCCGAGGTTTTCATCATGGCGGTGGTTCCCAAGCCTCCTGGTAACTGGGCGGCCCTCCCCAGGTTTGCAATCAGATCTCCACATCTGGGTGTTCTAAGTAACTGCCCAGGGGAGTCTGGGAGTCTGCTTTTCTTTTGGAAATGGTTGGATTTTCAGTGACATAGGTCCAGGATCTCAAATGTGGGGCGGGGTGAACGAGACTCATGATGCGTCTTGTGTGTCCTCTGTTACAACGTGCTTCTTTTTGCAAATGATTGACCTTAACAAGCTGGAGCTGTTTGGAACTTGTTCCTGTCGTCCGGTGACCTGCACCTGAGCAGGCTTCCCTGCGAAGGGGAGGGCGGGCGGGTTCATCAAGGGCAGGGCTCGCTCGGAGAAGACAGAAGCGTGGTCCACTTCCGCGCCCTCACGGTATGGCTGGCCCGGAACCATTTATCGGAGCGATGACACGTTTCTAGGTTAGTGACGGTGGCAAGGGCAGTCTGCTGGTGAGATTTATTTGCATGGAGAGCCGAGTGCGTCGGGGGAGAGGAGTGCAGGCGTGCGGTGCTCACTGTCTCGTCTTGGGTCGTATTTTGGTCACAGGGTGAGCATAGGGGTTCAGAGCACACGCTGCAGCCTCTACAGACCTGCCTTCAGCTCCGGGCTCCAAGATGTGTGTGTTCTGTGCGCACAGCAAGGCCCCTTCACGCGAGCTGTGCAGTGAGGATGCTGCATTCCTGGGGTTGTCGTGACGATGAATTGAGATAGCAGATACTCCTTTCTGTAAGACGGGGAGAGCAGTACTGACCCAGGGCAGGCGAGAGGATTAAAGGACAGAATGTGTGGACATCTTTAGGGGAGCGCCCACACACTGTTAGCGTCCTTAGCGCTGACTTGACTTTTCCAACCGGCAGTGGACAGAACATAGCAGACTGAACACTCCTGGCCCACCCCAGGACTCCAGTGGCAGCAGGTAGTGTAGACAGCTGGTCCGAACCAGAAATCAGTAGCCTTCTGGCCGGTTTAACCACGAGATGCCTTGGGCTGAAGTGGTCGTGTGCAAAGACTTGCATCCAGAGAGCAAAGGAATCTAGGGACGCACATTTCGTAACTGAATTTGTTGTCTGTCTTGCAGACTTGGAAGAGGAATCGGAAAGCTGGGGCAGCTCTGAGGCTGGAGAGGAGGAGAAAGAGGGGGCCGAGGGGCGGGAGCCGACCAAGTGCCCAGCGGATTCGTCCTTGCTCTCAGACTGTGGAAACTGGCAGCCCCGAAAGCTCTCTGTCTTTAAATCCCTTCGGCACATGAGGCAGGTAGGCGGTAGAGAGGTAGAGCCCGGATCAGAAACTCGGGACAAGAGCCCCGTCCTCTCCTTCCGGCTCATCTCCATCCAGCACGCCTTTTTCTTTGGGTCTGTTGTGTTCAGGGGTGACCAGGAACCTTCTTGGTGGGTGGCTGAAGATGACAGGGGGCATCTGGGGTGTCTTAGCCCCAGGCTCAGTGAGGATGGAGGGGGTTTCTCTAAAGAAAGGCCCAACGGTTGGCTTCTCATGGCTCTCTAATCTTGTCATTCTGGAACCTTCTAAAGGAATTGAACAGCATTGTTGGTTTGCACACAGCGTAGATGCTTTGCAAATTGAAAACAGTGGCCTTTCTTACAAAGAACTGGAAACAACCTGAACGTGCGACCCTAGGAGTTGCATCCGAGCAACGGCCCGTTGTTCGCTAGGAGCCGCGGGAGCCTGCACCGCGGGGGGCGGGGCGGGGGCGGGGCTGCTCGCCGCACGGGAGGGCAGCGGGAGTGACCGCTAGATCACAAAGCAGGCTGGCCTTTCGTAGACCCTCTCTCTGCTTACTTTTACATTGAGCATGAATTCTATCAGAAAACAGTTATTTTTACTTTGGAAAATGAAGTAAAGCCTGGTTTACCAGGAGGTGTTCTGTGGGGCTTTGGGGTGAAAACCATTCATTTAAATCGTCCTTGATTTGGCCGCAGTCCTTGTTGATTACAGTGGGTTACAGCTAATGTGGATTACAGCTGGAGGGGATCTTGAATTCCACCGGAGGTGGGAGTCCTTGGGGGCTGGTAGGGTTTGGTAAAAGGCAGTGTCACAGCCTCCTCTTTTTTTCTGGCCATGTTCACAAGCCCTAAGACAACAGGCTGAGCTCTTCTAAAATGTCAGTGCCATGGAGTTAATTGGAGTTGATTAAAGCAGGATAAAAACAGGACAGATGAGGAAGTCACAAGCCCTAGATTGAGAGACTCACAGCCCAGAGGACATGGTTAGAGGCCGGGGCTCCGGACGGGGGTCCACTCAGCGGGGCGGCCCTGGGCTGCTGGCATCTAGACTGAGCTTTCCCTCAGTGCTGAAGACTCATAACCCTGGCTCTCTCTCAAGTGGTTAGGCCAAAGTTAAGGGTGTAGAGAGAGAGGGTACATGTTGCAAAAAACTAATACTTTATCTGCTTCAAATCTTTAAAAATAGAATTGGGGAAAAGATCTTGGAGTGTACAAGAGCCCTGGGGTCGGACCTTCAGGTGTGAGCACAGGGCCATCCCTCCTCCTGGTTTCGGGCAAGTCACCCAGCCTCCCCGAGGAGATAGGTGACTTCCGCTCTCCTGCCCGTCTTCCTTCACTCTATGGAGAAAGTTTCTAGACGAACACACAAATAGCTTCCTCTGGACAGAAAGCAGTGCACCCTGTTTTTCAGGTCCTGGGTGCCCCATCTTTCCGCACACTGGCCTGGCACGTCCTCATGGGGAACCAGGTGATCTGGAAAAGTAGAGACGCAGACCTTGTCCATTCAGCCTTTGAAGTTCTTCGGGTGAGAGGATCTTCTTTCCTTTGTGTTTTGTGGCAGGACGGTATTGGCCTAGTGGGTTTTTTAAAAATCTGTTAAGATGTGTCAGAGACTCGTTGCAGAGGTTCATGCCTGAATCTAAGATCTGTGCTTTTCTCCACTGTTAAAAATGGTATTCATCTGTGCTTTCACTGCCGAGGGCCCAGGTTCTATCCCTGGTCAGGGAACTAAGATTCCACAGGCTGCGCAGCGCGGCCAAAAAAAAAAGGAAGAAGTCATTTTTGGCTTTCATTTCGAGCGAGGAGTCTATGCTGTCCTGACAGACTGATCACTCTCCCATCCGCCCTTCCCCAAGCCCCGCATCCCTTTGAGAAGCCACCTGTGCCACAGAGGCGGGCCTGGGTCCCCACGTGGTCCTCTGCACAGAGCCTGATCGACGGGCTGGCCGGAGTGCATGTGTGGCGTGCTGTCTCCGTCCCACAGGTGTAGGGGGGTGCCACGGCCCAAGTCCGGCTCTAAGCGTGCGTGCATGCCAGCCCTCTGCCTGGGCCCGTGAAGGTACAAGACGAAACAATGTCTCAGACAACTTAGAATCCCTTTGGTGGGTGAGGGAAGAGACAAACATCTGTGAAGTCGGAGAATGATAGAAGAGTTAACCCTGCAGAGCGGGCTGGGATGAGAGGGCTCTGGACCGAGCTGCAGGGGGCTCGTGGGGTGTGGGTGAGGGACTCGGGCGGGGCAGTGCTCAGCTCTGGGTTGTTCCATCCTTCAGACCATGCTGCCCGTGGGCTGTGTGCGCGTCATCCCTTACAGCAGCCAGTACGAGGAGGCCTACCGCTGCAACTTCCTGGGGCTCGGCCCCCACGTGCAGATCCCTCCCCACGTGCTGGCCTCAGGTGCGTGCCGTGTCGGTCTGGGCTGAGCCCCTGCACGTCAGGGCTCAGAAGTGAAACCACGTGACTGGACCTCAGCTGTGGGTTTGAGGACCGATGCCTGCTGGCCTCAGGCGGGAAGACCCACGTTGCAGGACCAGCTTTCCCCGTGGCATTGGCTTCTAGTGTCTGTCTTGAAGATGGGTGAGGGTTGGGCTGGGCTGCTCACTGGGGTGTGGTTCTCTGTGGGGCGGCTCAGGGGGCACTGGACTGAGCGTCCGCCTCGTGGTCTTCCTTCCTGTCCGTTCTCCTGTGTTTATCTGCCTGAAATCTGTCCCCGGTGCTCATCAGCTCAGTGGCCCTTGCTCTGCCCCCCTCCGCCCTCAGGACTGATTGACAAGCTTACTGCTCTAGACAGAGAGCCAGGAAGCTGATCGGCATCCCTCATTCTTGGTCTGGGGGGGTCGGGAGTCAGCACATCCCTTTGTGGGTGCACATCCCCGCATCCGGCACGTCTAGGCCTCCTCCAGGCACATCCGTGAGAGCGGTGGGAAGGTTGGTCACAGAGCTGTCACCCTCTCAGCAACCAGGCTGGGCCATGAGTCCAAGAGGCAGTGTTCAGAACACAGGCTCTTGTTTCAGAGATGGGCTTGATATTGTTACCACCACTAGCCATGTGACCTTGTGCAAGTCACTTAGCTTCTCTGAGTCTGTTTCCCCATCTGTAGAATGGGCTGTAGCGGGGCCGCTCTCCCAGGGCTGTTTAGTGTTAGGCCAGTGGAGGTATACGCAGTAATTTGTAGTAATATAATACAGTGCGTTATTAGTTTAACTGAGTCAAAAGTGAACACTTAACTCTTCACAAGCTACCGAAGATTTTAGGTGCCAGTGTTCAGCTCAGGAGGCTGGAGTTTTCCCCAGATGATCTGAGATGATTGGGAGCTGCAAAGGAGGGGCTTTGTCCCGGGGTGAAGAGCACTTGACGGGCAGCATGTCTCGTGTCTCCGCAGAGTTTGCTGTGGTGGTGGAAGTGCACACGGCCGCCCGCTCCAGCCTGCAGCCGGCCGGCTGTGAGGACGAGCCGTCCCTCAGCAAGCACGAGTTTGTTGTGACCAGTGGGAGTGCTGTGGCCGCAGACCGAGGTGGGCGCCGCTGAGCAGGGCCTGCTCTCCCCCCGGCGAGCGGGCTGAGGGGGTGCTGAGGCCGCCCCCACCCTCCCCGTGCTGACCCCCCCGCCGTGCCCCGCTTGTCCCCAGCCGGCCCCACCATCCTGAGTAAAGTGGAAGCAGCTTTGACCAACCAGAATCTGTCGGTGGACGTGGTCGACCAGTGCCTCGTCTGCCTCAAGGAAGAGTGGATGAAGTAAGCGGGTGCCGCCTCGGCCCCTAGAGTCTGTGCTTTCAGGGGAGGGCTGGGCTGCCGGCAGCAGGAGAAGCAGGAGCTGTGGCCAGAGACAGAGGTGAGGCCGTGGCTGCTGCGGGAGGGGGGTGTGGGCGAGAGATGCAGGGCTCCACCACGCGCTGACCTGGCTGGGTGAGCTGGAGCAGGTGAGCCCGCACCCCTGAGCCTCAAGCTGCTCTGTGCTCTCCAAGGGAGGCAGTTATTTTTGATGCTTAGTTAACTTAAGAATTGGAAGGTCGGGTAGCAGATGTTCCCTCCTTATTAAGCAAGTTACTGTATTTCTTCCCGCCTTCTTAGTAATTTTCTGTCAAATTTAATTAGTCAAACATTGTTCTGATTTCAGACAGTACAGTGGAGCTTAGGAGCCACCTGTCCCTTTTATGAATGGGAGGAACATTTGTCTTTTTAATCTTCCTGTTTGGCTGCACCAGCGTCAGCAGCGGTGGGGAAACGGGAGACCCTGGGTGCAGGCGCGAGTCGCCGCTCTGCTGTGCCGCCTCTCCTGTCTCAGTTCCCGCTGTGCCTGCCGAGCCGTTGCTGGTCTTGAAGCCGTTTAGGCCCCAGGACCAGAACTCTGCTGACGGTTCTGCGGTAGCTGAGTGTTTGGTTTTGGTCTTCTGCAGCAAAGTGAAGGTCCTCTTTAAGTTCACCAAGGTGGATAGCCGGCCCAAAGAGGACACACAGAAGCTGCTGAGCATCCTCGGGGCGTCTGAGGAGGACAACGTCAAGCTGCTCAAGTTCTGGATGACAGGCCTGAGCAAGACGTACAAGTCGCACCTCCTGTCCACGGTCCGCAGCCCCATGGCCTCAGAGCCCCGCAGCTGACCCCGTCCCGGGACACTGTGTCTGGGTGGGCCTCCTGGGACGCGGTGACGTCCGTCCTTGCTGCGGAGCTCGGACACAGGTCTCTGATGGCGTTCTCAGGCTGTCCTCCCGTTTCCAAACTGCTGGCATGAAGCTGTTTCCTAGTAAGGAGTGGAAACTGTTGGGGCTGAACTTTGCCCTCTGTGTGGGATGCAGGCCTGGTGTAGTTCTTGGCACCATCCCGCAAGCTATCTGAATTGCTCCAGCCCTGGAGGGGGCAGTGGGAGACTTGTGACAGTCTCCTGCATTCGCGCACCCCTGGGAGAGAAGAGCGTGAGGAAGGTGTGCAGCTCGTGCCTCTCATGGGTGCTGATCTCAGAATTTACAGGGAAACGTGTCAGGCCAGCTCCGCCTGGGGTATCTTAGCCGCAATGTCATACTCTCTCTTGAGGTTGAACCTTTCTGTTCTCAAGTTCAGCAAGGGTTTTCCAGGTAGTGCGAGCATATGTGAGTTTTGTGACTTTTCAGGTTATGCTCTGATCTGTAGTCATTGTTAGTAACCTGGTTTTAAGTTAGGGCTCTGGGAATGCCTTTTGGGGTGGAGTGGATGTTTTCCTCCTCTTTGGATCATCTGGAATTCGTGTTCTGAACTTACCTGACAACCAAGTCTTCTGGCCATGCTCTTCTGTGGTTGCTCTGAAATTACCCTGTAGCTTGAGGACGAGCCCTGATCTTTTTTACACAAAGAGAATACTTTGCTGAAATGTCAAATGGAGTCATTTGACTGGCCTGGCTCACTGGATGTAGAGTTGAGAAGCCCATCATAGTTTTATTCCATATCACTTTGCCCTCTATTGCTTCTTTAAACGTTTACATTTGGCTGCAGTTAAGTTTCAGAGTATGGTAGTGTAAGACTGGTTCATCGTTCCTGTGTACATTTTTAATAAGGATTCATGGTTTGGAAGGATTTTCCGGTAATTTTGCTGATTTGTTTATAGTTTTTTTGTGTTTAATTTATATTTAACAGGAAGACCATGTTTATATGACTAGGTATCGGTATCATGCAAGAACGTTGAAATAATAAAGATATATTTTTATAAACTGTTGACTACATGGTTTTATTGGTTTGATACCTCAGATTTTCTTGGGATCAATCATAGAAAATAATATGGTTAAAGTAACACCAGTGATATAACTATTTTGGAACTCTGTACTGTCCTGAAGGCTTGCAATTTCCAGGGGAAGACTTAGTAAACTGTGGTTAATTTTCAGTCAGTTTTAGCTAGTAGTACAGTTGCAGGTTCCTGTGTCCCACCCCCAGCCACATGGCAGGGCCGTACACGTGTTCTTGGAGCAGCTTGCAGGAGCGAGGGTGGGTGAAGAGGACCCTGTCCTCGGAACATCAGGGCTCTACGCCTCATCGCTGATGGCTGCTTCTGATCAGGGCACAGACGAAGGGGGGGCAGCCACTGTCGCTGCGCCTCCCCCTCTGGATGGCAGCCTCTCCCTGCTTCATTTTTGCCTTCCACCTCTCAGGAGCCAGACATTAAAGAGTAGGACACTCAAAAACAATTGCATGTATGAGAAAATTTAAAAGTGATTGTGCACATCCAGGGAAGGGCTCAGAAAAGACCTGAGAAAAACTGAAGTTTACATCTCCAGCTGATCCCTGGCAAAGAGCCTACAACAGTAAAAATAAATAACAAACCAGTAAACGCTGGGGAAGGGGGAGAATCTGATTTCCAGAGTTCTGCTATTATTAGATTTAAATGTCTAGTGTTCAGCAAAAACAACAACAACAAAATCACAAGGCATACAAAGAAACAGGAAGGTCTGTTGAAAGGAAAAAGAAGAATTCAGCAGAATCTGTCCGTGAAAGAGATTTAATGGCAGACATATTAGCCAAAGACTTTAAAACAGCTGTTAAAGATGCTCAAAGAACTAAAGATTTGGAGAAAGTGAAGAAAATGATGTGTGAACAAAATAGAAATATCAAAGAAAACCAAAAAAAGAAACCAAAAATATGGAGCCAAAAACTGCAGTAACTGAAGTGAAAAATTGACTAGAAGGCTTTAAAGACAATTTGAGCAGGCAGGAGAATCAGTGAACTTAAAGATAGGACAGTGGAAATTATTGAGGCTAAGGAACAGAGCCTAAGAGATCCACGGGACACCATTGAAAGGACCAACATATGCATCGTGGGAGCCTGAGAAGAAGAAAGAGAAAGAGGCAGAATATGTGAATAAATAATGGCTGAAAAATTTCCAAATTTCTTGAGACACATGAATATAAACATACAGGCACACCTTAGAGATTGTGAGTTTGGTTCCAGACCACTGCAATAAAGCAAATATTGCAATTAAGTGAGTCCACACGAATTTTTGGTTTCCCAGTGCGCATGGAAGTTATGTTCACACTGTACTGTGGTCTTTTTTAAAAAATAAATTTATTATTTACTTTTCGGCTGATGCTACGCGCGGGCTTTCTCTAGTTGCAGCGAGCAGGGGGCTACTCTTCACTGTGGTGCGTGGGCCTCTCCTTGTGGTGGCTTCGCTTGTGGAGCATGGGCTCCAGGCACACAGGCCTCAGCATTTGTGGCACATGGGCTCAGCAGCTGTGGCTCACGGGCTCTGGAGCGCAGGCTCAGTAGTCGTGGCGCATGGGCTTAATTGCTCCGCAGCATGTGGGATCCTTTCGGACCAGGGCTCGAACCCGTGTCCCCTGCAATGGCAGGCAGATTCCCAACCACTGTGCCACTAGGGAAGTCCCTATACTGTGGTCTATTAAGTGTGCAATAGCATTGG